CCCCCATCACTGATGTCATGCTGCTGCGTTACTTTTGTCGTGTGTGAAGGTGTTCCAGTCCTCCTGAGAGTCTTTCATCTTCTTCATCACCACCAGCTTCCCGCCGTCCACGTCCACGCTCAGCGTGTACTTCTGGGACTTCACAATCTTGGAGAGGTCCAGCATGTCCAGCTTCACCTGTAAGAGGGAGAGTGTGTCACCTCTAGAGTCATGTATGGTGGTCAGGTCTGGAGTCACGCATGGAGCTGCCCCTCTAGAGTCATGTATGGTGGTCAGGACTGGAGTCACGCATGGAGCTGCCCCTCTAGAGTCATGTATGGTGGTCAGGACTGGAGTCACGCATGGAGCTGCCCCTCTAGAGTCATGTATGGTGGTCAGGACTGGAGTCACGCATGGAGCTGCCCCTCTAGAGTCATGTATGGTGGTCAGGACTGGAGTCACGCATGGAGCTGCCCCTCTAGAGTCATGTATGGTGGTCAGGACTGGAGTCACGCATGGAGCTGCCCCTCTAGAGTCATGTATGGTGGTCAGGACTGGAGTCACGCATGGAGCTGCCCCTCTAGAGTCATGTATGGTGGTCAGGACTGGAGTCACGCATGGAGCTGCCCCTCTAGAGTCATGTATGGTGGTCAGGACTGGAGTCACGCATGGAGCTGCCCCTCTAGAGTCATGTATGGTGGTCAGGACTGGAGTCACGCATGGAGCTGCCCCTCTAGAGTCATGTATGGTGGTCAGGACTGGAGTCACGCATGGAGCTGCCCCTCTAGAGTCATGTATGGTGGTCAGGACTGGAGTCACGCATGGAGCTGCCCCTCTAGAGTCATGTATGGTGGTCAGGACTGGAGTCACGCATGGAGCTGCCCCTCTAGAGTCATGTATGGTGGTCAGGACTGGAGTCACGCATGGAGCTGCCCCTCTAGAGTCATGTATGGTGGTCAGGACTGGAGTCACGCATGGAGCTGCCCCTCTAGAGTCATGTATGGTGGTCAGGACTGGAGTCACGCATGGAGCTGCCCCTCTAGAGTCATGTATGGTGGTCAGGACTGGAGTCACGCATGGAGCTGCCCCTCTAGAGTCATGTATGGTGGTCAGGTATGGAGTCACGCATGGATCTGCCCCTCTAGAGTCATGTATGGTGGTCAGGTCTGGAGTCACGCATGGATCTGCCCCTCTAGAGTCATGTATGGTGGTCAGGACTGGAGTCACGCATGGAGCTTCCCCTCTAGAGTCATGTATGGTGGTCAGGACTGGAGTCACGCATGGTGCTGCCCCTCTAGAGTCATGTATGGTGGTCAGGACTGGAGTCACGCATGGAGCTTCCCCTCTAGAGTCATGTATGGTGGTCAGGACTGGAGTCACGCATGGAGCTTCCCCTCTAGAGTCACTTGTCTGCGATTGGCTGCCCCACACTCGGCCCCGCCCCCCGCGGCACCCAACTCTCACCTCAAAGGTCTGCACGGGAATAATCTTCACCTTCCTGGAGGACTGGGGGATGGGCGCGGAGAGGGCGGAGCTGCTCATGTCTTGCAGAGCTTTCAGCGCCTGGAAACGCGAGACACAAAATCAGAGAAGAGAAACAAATACTGTCCGTGATACTCCTCCCCCCTCAGAGTCCCGGCTCATAGAATATGACCCAAGGGACCCGCACAAAGCTTTACTGACACCAGACAGTCTCTCTCCCGTCACATGTGACTCCGCCCCCGGTGCATTCTACCCCAAATATAAGCTTAGTCATCCCGGGATTCCACGATCATACTGTGCGCTGAAAGCATCAGAACCTGATTTCTTAAAGTCCGGCGTCCAGAGAAATACCCGCTGACCTGCCAGAAATCCAGTGAGCTCCTGACTTCCTGTCCGGACTGACAACACAGTGCCTCTGCTGCACTGAAATCCTGTGCTTTTCAGGGGCCCCCCTATGGATGTCCTCTCTGCAATCCACTTCTGTGCAGGCGAGAGGCTCTGTGTGACTGCAGACTGGGTGGATGATGATGTCACGTCCGCGCAATTGTCGCCCATTCACTCTCTCGTGCGTCCTGCACATCACAACGCATTCACACAGCGCG